GAAGCGAGCTGCGGTATACTTCCTGTTTACGTCCCGTGCCCGGGCGGATCTCAGGATTCCAACTTGTAACATGTAGTCAAGCTCGAGAAGCAGACCTACCCAGTCGCTAAAGAGACGGTGGGGGTCGCAGGATGTCCGCGCCGCAAATCTGCATCGACGCGAGGTGTCTAAAACAGTTCGTTGGGGTGGTCGGAAGCTGCGTTCGAATGCTACCTTGAATGTGCATTGGCAGGGTAAGTTCCTTGCTTTCAAGTCGCCTCTGAACGGTCCCCCTCATCATCTCCCTGTAAGACATAAATTGCTAGCAGATGCACTATGGAGTCTCGACAATCGCACTCTAGGTAGTAGTAGAAGAGATACCTAGGTAGCAGAGCAATAATTGAAGGATTGGCGTTTCTGCGCGCGCGGCACAGCAGCTCGTCTGCTGATTAACAAGGAATATCATTGTATGATGGCGCTAGCAGCTGCAACTCGCAGCTCTTTGTCTTCTTCAGATCTGAGGCGGCGTGAAAGAAGCATTGCCGTGCGGGTGGGGGAACAGCAACGGCACGGGCCCGACCCTCCCGAGGGCTTGATGGAAATTAGCGCGGGACTTTAACCTCATTCGGGTCTTGGCGCATTATCACTGCTAACCGCTCTTCGGCCGTCGCCTCAATCATCACTCCACCTTCCTTCCGGGCTTCGCGCTCGAGCTTCATTCATCATTTCTCGCATCGCAAGGGACTTAGGATGTGTACATGAACAGGTTTGGAGTCTACATCGAAGTCAGGTCGCCTACTTTGCATGTTCTCACCCATGGATGTCAATGTAGGCTGCAGACCTGTTCAATCTTTTCCTACGTTGACGGTACTCTACTGCTTTCATCAACCTCGCTTCAAGCCGTGCGCGGCGGCGGGCACCCAGCCGCTCGGTTCCTGAGGATGCACACCCAAGTCACTCTCGAGCGATGCGACCTGCCTTTCGCCATCACACCCACCCTGGTAGGCCGCGTAAGTGGGCATTTGTGGCCTTGCTAGAACCTTTGCACCGTCCATGATACTCTTGTGCAAGCCTAAGTCTGCTTTGAATAGCACCATATACTTTACGCCTCGGCTAATTGACCTCTGACAGCTGTCACTCAGTTTAAAGGAAGGAACGAGATGAGGCCACGAGAGATGAGCTCGCAGGCGACACCGCCTACCGCCATGTCCCTTTTGAGTCCTTCTGACGTGATCATCGAGGCCGGCACGGGCTCTGAGCAATATCATTCCTACTGCGCCTCATAGTCGCGTATGAGATGAGGCTCCTAAGAGCGGCGGCGACTCTCTTATCATAGGCACCTGTTTTATGCGAGCAGGGTACTGCCCGCCAACTCCTATGTTGGCTGTCAGCGAGAAGGATTTTGCTCCTGCCGTGCCTGCACGAATGAACGCCCGAATGAACCCAGTAAGCTGCATGGTCGTGAAGAAGGACATTTAGTATGAGTGATCTTAGACGTCAGCGTTTCTGTCGTGCCAACTCCAACACTACTTCGTCGCTCTGTCATGGCTGGCACTATTCAACCCATAGCCGCACTCACGGCCGAAGACCATGGCCCGATCAACACAATTGTCTCCATCGTTCTTCCAGTCACAAGTATCCTCATCGCAACTGTCCGCATGGCAATGCGGCGGCAAAAGTTCCATCAGGTCGAGTCTGATGACATCGTTTTTGGTGCAGGACTTGTACGAATTCACGTCTCAACTTCCTGTACTCACTTTGCTAATAAATCTCAGTGTTTTGGTGTCTTCACATCCATCCTGTCCCACTTCTGCGTCCGAGCAGGCCTGGGCAGACACCAGGATACGCTTGATGACAGGCAAATGGCTCATTACTTCAAGGTAAACAGTTGTATCAAGGGCTGCGGACTATACTAAACACATACTTATAGCTTTTTTGGACCGCACAAATCTCGGGCGTCATTGCTCTCGCTCTTGCTAAACTATCGCTCGTTGTTCTGTTCCAACGCATCGCTCCAAAACAAGTCGGGCCTCAAGCTACCAGATGGCTTATACCTATGGTCGCTGTCTACACACTACTCTCTCTCTTTCTGATCGCCTTCCAATGCCAGCTACCACAACCTTGGATACTCAGTCCGAAGAATTGCTCTACACATGGCAACGTGTACTATCCGATCACTATCTTTAACATATTAAGCGACACTGTGCTTGCTTTCTGGATCTTTCCACTTATCCGGGGTGTTCAAATGAAAGCCCATACCAAATCCATTGTATTTTGGCTGTTCGGATCGCGTTTACTCATTTGCGTCGTGGATATTGGACGGATGGTAGTCATTCATAAAGCTCTTCAGCTAGAGGATCAAACACGTAAGGAGCCATGTTCTCATCAAAGCATATCGCTAATCACATCCCAGGATCGCAACTGAGATGGGCCGTAATGGATCAAATCGTTGTTCACCTTTCGATCAATCACGCTACACTACCTCGTATCCAGACCTTCCTCTCGCATCTACAGATCGGCGGTATGAGCACGCATATGGGAGCAAGTCGGGGTGGTATACGGACGACGTCCAAGGGCAGGAGCAGCGCCGCCAAAACCACCCAGGACGATTCGAAAATGGGGCGGACCTCCGATAAAGCTTGGAACTCATTATGCAACCGTCTCACCGGGAGTCTTAACAGAACGCCTAGCATCTCTGAAGAGCCTCTTCGTCATCAGCAAGGCATCGAGCTATCCACAACCGTATACTCCGGGAAGGGCGACGCTACACATAGGAATGTGGAGCAGAGTCGATCGGCAGCGACATGGTTATCGAGTTCTAGGGAGGGCTTGACTAGAGAAGACATCGCAGGCTCGCTAGGGGGTGTGAGGGTGCAAAAGGAGTTTCATGTGGTTTATGACCAAATGTGATACGCAGCCTGAGTGACGCGTTTCAAAAGGCTCTCGCATCATATGCATTTATCAAAATATCACGATTTCTCCGTCCGCTTCATGACCAAAAGAAATAACCAATAGAGATGATCTCGCAAGCGACACTTCAAGTATGATTCGAGATGGCCTACCCAGGGTTTTGCGCAGCGGAGACATTATACTCGCGACGACCAAACAGGAACGTACGTCCCCTTCCATCCAGTCCACATCTTCGCCTCATCCGCACCAGCTACGGGCTCTGCAATTTCTACAAGATTTGCATCGAGTACATCCCGACAGTCATCTTGCTCCGCATTCCTAGCCCAATCAATGGGCTTCTCTCCACCCCTGTCAAGCGCATCTTTGTTCGCCCCATAATGCAGCAGCAGCTTGACGCAGCCCACATAGCCTTCTGCTGAAGCAGTATGCAGTGGAGTAACTTTGTCAAAATCACACTTATTGACGTCCGCACCCGCCTCTAGTAGTGCGCGAATAACCGACAATTGGTCACGACATACAGCTCCATGCAGCGCGGTACCTCCGTATCGACTTCCTGGAACGTTCAAGTCTACTCCTTGGTGGATGATATGCTGACATACGTGGAGCAACCCGAAAGATGCTGCATAGTACAAAGCGGTTGCATGCTTTGGATACGAAGACCAACTGCTGCCGGCCGAGGAAGACCCGGCGTTCAAAGTTTGGATCCAGGACATGAACGCTTCGTGATTAGACGGAGACAAGAACGCAAGAACCTTTTCGTCGTGTTGGATTGATGCTTTCTCTGGAGTTTCAGCTGCCCGTAGATAGTATGTCCAGGATGTGGTCGCATGGCGTAGGAAAGGATAGTTTGCCAAGCGGGCAGCGAATTCGTCCTTAGAGGTTGAAGGGCCGCTCTGGAAGCTCCGGAAAGAGAGATAGGTTAGGCAGTCCAAAGCAAGTTCGCGATAGCTTGCTGTCCGATTGAGCGCAAAGGCTGTCGCAGGGCCGTTGCGAATGTCTTCTGAAAGCAGATAGTCTTTCACAGAAAGGTGAGCGAGACGGACATGGCCTGGCCCATTCGTTGAGACTGTGATCAGACTGCCGCAAACAGCAATTATTTCTTCTGCGCTGCTTAGGCACGAGTCTTCATCCAGCTCTTCGCAGCCATGTTCAATAGCAATAGCAGAGTGAAGCTCCTCTAGTGTGACTGGCAACACCGTGAATGAGAGCCAGAGTAGGACTTTGCGAACGATGGGTGTATCAGCTGCGGAAACTCTCATTAATATGCTTTCATAAATCTGTCCGAGCTCCTGTGGGAGGTGCTGGAGAGTGGTCCGGATATCGCGGACGGTACGAAGCGCAGATACTTGATCAAGACAGCACTGAACCAATCGAAACCTGTATTGTTACTTACATGTGACGCAAGTCCATGAAAGAGGCACTTACATTCCACAAGATCTTTCGTGTAAACATACACTAATCTCATCTCTCACAGACGGTTTCAGTCGTAACAAACTTCGATCAGTTTGTAGTCTGTAGTCGATATACGTTTTGATGTCTTCATCGACCTCTCTTGTCCAGCCTTCCATCTGAATGAGCTCGAATGAAGCCAGTGCATCCTGAATATCGAGCTCATGCCGACTGGTAAGGAAGATGCTGATATTCCTTCCCAGGCTCTGAAGGTAAGCCATGGATGACAGTAACTCCTTCCGCTGAACGCATTCGTCAATCGCATCGACTAGTAAGATGATTCTTCTCGACGCGGAAAGCAAACATAGCATATCTTTCAGCAAGGCAATGGATGGCCGTTTGTTCGAATGGCGACTATGGTCAAAAGCAGCTTCTAACTCGTCATAGCTGGCCCCAGTTTGGGAACATATCTGCGCGACCAAAGAGCCTAGAATATTAGTGGGGTCATGTGCTTCGGCCTTGCGGAAGTCGCAATAGAAGAACGCCGCCAACGTGGGTTGCGGCAAAGAAGGCAGTAAACTCTCGAGAGACTGGATGACGTTTGCGCTTCGGTCAAGTTAATTGTTGCATACTCGAGAGTTCAACACATACTCACAAGAGGATAGTTTTGCCAGACCCAGCTAAGCGAAGATGTCAGCACGGCCACTTCTGATGTCACAATGTTACATACGAAAGCCGCTCAGCCATAGTCCAGCATTGCCAGAGACAGCCCAGGCTTGAAACACCTTCGACTCGATGAACCAGCCGCCTGTTCCAGATCTCCTTGCAGAAGCGGCTGCTTCATGACTCTCCCACGGCGTTACTGGAGCAAGCCAATGTGTAAGAGCTCGGGATCGATCATCTGTGCGCATCAGCAGCTGCAAGTCGGATGTTGTAAAGAGACATACCTAGTTCTGCGCTCTCTATCCTAGTGAGGAGCTTGGAAACATTGCCATGCACATGGGCCGTGGTCTCGTTCAGAGAGATGGTCATCTTCCTGATGTCAAGGAGCAAAGCTCTACAAGGCTAGATGAGCTGAGAGTGAGATGAATGATGAAGTGGGGGCAGCCTACGTCTCATCTGCGGTCAACGCCAGAAGTATAGTGCTTTTGCACCGCTCCATTCTTTCTAGACAAACTTTCGCGTCACCTTCTTTTAGCTGCCAGCCCATAACCTGGGCGAACACTCGCGCTTTCGCCAACAGAGTTGACCTTCCAGGAGTCTGCTTGTCGGAGTTGATCTTCTTCTCTAGATCCAATAGCTCCTGCAGGCAGCGACTTAACGGGCTGGTCTCGGACTCGCATAGTAGTTGGAATGTGCGGAAACGTGCTGCGTTAGACTCTTTTGATGTGTCGAGCGCGCGGCAGACCTGTTCCAAGCTCTCCAACACATTTCGAAGGTCTCTTATCTCGTCGATGGTTCTGGTGAGGGACCAAGGACTCTGCTTGAGAGCTGAACGGACTTCGTAGCATATTGTTATAATGGAGTTGGCGACCTGTAATACCGTGATCACGTTTGCGGTAACACTAAGAGGGTCCATAGTCGTTCAATGGCAACGTTTTGCTCAGCGACGATCACGGAAGGTCTATATGAGCTCGGTGGCGTTGCACCTGTTGTGGCGCAGTCCAACAACGTGATAACCTCCAGGCTGAGCGAGGCATAATATCAGAAAGACACTTTCTTGCCGTAGACACCAAGGCTGAAAGAGCCTTAGGCTGCAGTACTTGCATCACCGACACTGCCAACGCGCCAGGCGCGCGTAGTGGAGTATGCATGGCACGGCCGTTCCGTCATCGAGTGCTGAAAGCCTTCGGCAAACAGGATTCAGTACCTAGGTAGTTGCACACCGATCAGCGATCGAATGTCGAACATACAGCGAAGCTTGTATGACCTCGCGCATCGTTTGCGCAGGCTGGTGGACGAGCGCGCAGAACGATAAGCCATCAAGCGCGCAATAGTTGAAACGGGCAGAAAGTGTTGGTGGACTGCCCGCGAAGACGACGCGAAAGAAGCCGGAGCGCGCGATGCAGATCGCAATTACCCACATCTGCGGGGGCCATTCCGCATCCACCCACCTACCTATCGCAAACAGACACACATTGCAAAGGCGAACATGTCAACTGCACCCACTTCGTACTGTCTATTAATACATCTCCACCCAGCTAATCTTTTGAGACCTGCTCTCATAGCTGGTCTCGCTCACATGCCTAGGTACTTTGCCGCCAAGGCTGAAAAATCGCAATCATCCTCCCAGCTACCGCCGGCATGGCTGAAAGGTTGCATTGCCCAGGCGGTTTCGATAAGCCCTTGGAGCGGAACGGGCCTGGTAAACCCAGGATCAACGCCACCTGGGCATGGATTCATCAGCTGGCTCAGCTCGATATGACCTCGGAAAGAGGAAAGTTCTGGTGATCATGCCGTCACATGCATGACTTCTATCCATCAACCACAGACCGGCAGATACTCGAGAGCAGATCAGACTTTATAGCTGCGTGCGCGCAGAGCCAAAACAGGGAAAGTCACGACCGGATCATGTCATGGACATGCACAGAACCTGGAAAGTATCCAGCTAGATTGTGGACAGGTAATTAGTCTGGACTGGGTAGCAACTTTGACTTTCGCTGAGCAGACTACATCCGACGCGAGTATGCAGCAACTGTACGGTCACCCTCGTCTGGTGAAGCGAGGGATGGGGGAGCTGCAACGACATCCAATCAGCTCCACACCACCGTCCCGTGTACCTCCCCCTCTGGCAAGCTTGCCAAATGCATAATATCTGTTGAGATCCTGCTCCGCTCATGGTACCTGGCATGACCTAGAACCACATATTTTGCACGAGCGAATACGCATTCTCTAAGAATGACACCGTCTAACAAAAGAGTCCATGATGGTGGGAAAACGAACAGCAATAGAAAAGCACACAAGCGTTCCAAGCTGGATGATAATTCTCAAGACCATGTGGACACGATGGCGGGCGCGGACGAACAAGACAATGAGACAACTTATCAGGTGAGCTGACTTCGCCTTTATATCGCTAGTTCTCGATGTCTCATCGACATCTGACCGCCCTAGACTCCAAACAAAGCATCAGACTCCCGCGAACCAGGCGCTACGCACCAACGACCAGGACTGAATCGCCATGACTCGCGACTATCGGCCATCTTTGTTTCGAAAGGATCCGGCATCGGTGAAGCAAAAGCCTCCTCTCCACCACAAAAGGTCGGGACCTCTTTGCCAAAATTGACGAGGTATCAGAGGATTCAGCCGACCGCAGTCAAGAGCAAAGAGAACCAAGGCATTCGAAACCCTGCTGGTAGTGAAAAGCCCACTAAGACGAAGTCGCGAATGTTGAACGCCCTCAAAAAGCTCGAAGACACATACGAATACTCATCCATTGGGTCTAAGCAGGTCCGCTTACTTATCGTCAAGCCAGGACAAGAAGACGACGACATCAACGCAATCCTACAGGTCGTTGATGAAGATCAACTTGGGAACGATGATTACTGCTACGAAGCTCTTTCGTATCACTGGGGCGAAGGCGAGGACTTGCACAGCATCATCATCAACGACGAATGGGCCACGGAGCCCATAAAGGATTTCACGGCCGCGGTGCTCAGTGCTCAGAAGAAGCTTTATGCGAAGCGTCATTATGTGCGACCAAATCTGTATAGTGCTCTGAAACGGCTGAGAGCACAGGATAGGCATGTGGCGTTGTGGGTAGATGCACTCTGCATCAACCAGGAAAACGATGCTGAGAAGACGGTTCAGGTCATGAAGATGAATCAGATATACCAAAAAGCATACAGCGTCTGTATCTGGTTAGGTCTGGACGATCCGGACTTCCATTCGAGTAAAGCGATGACTTTCATCAAAGATGTGGTCGACCTGAACAAGCTGAACAATCTCCTCACAGACGATCGTTACATCCCGCAATGGGCGAGTCTGTTCCAATTGCTCAAGTGGAGCTGGTTCTCGCGACGTTGGGTCATCCAGGAACTAGCACTAGCTCAGCAGGCTACCGTTCACTGCGGTCAGTCTGAAGTTCATTGGAACGATTTCAGGGACGCCATCGGAATTTTCCACCGCTACTTCAAGTCACTGCAACCAAGGATACAAAACCCTAGACTCGGCGGTAGTCCGATATCTGATCTAGAACCTCTTGGAGCCAAACTACTTGTGGAGATGACGAGTAACCTATTTCGAACCAAATCGAACGGCGCGTCTGAATCGACCATGAGCTTGGAAAAGCTGGTGTGTCAGCTATCCACCTTCAGTACATCCGATCCGCGCGACACTATCAACTGTTTGCGCAACCTTTCCAAGGAGCTTAATGCAGTGAAAACGAGGAGCTCAAGCTCACCTGCACGTACACATAGACAGCCGCCAGAACCTAATTATAAGCAAGATCTCTTCGAAGTCTATCGCGACTTCGTTGAATGGGTGGTAGGGGAATCTAAATCTCTGGACATCATCTGCCGTCATTGGGCTTTGAAAGAAAAGGAGAAGCTAGACATTGGCCCCACAGCTGCACCACGGCTTGTAACACTCCCGTCTTGGATTCTAACTGCAGAAGACGGGTCTTATGGAGCGGGCGAGGCAGTATTCAGGGGCCGCAAAGCTGGTGACAGCCTTGTAGGCCTTCCTGGGGAGGCGGTGTACAACGCTTCTGGGCGCAGTACTCCGATCGTTCAATTCGGGGATGGCGATGCTCGAGAGTGGTCACCAAGTCCCAAGTCTGGTCCACGGCTCTCCGTCTACCCACAAGACGATTCGTTGACGGTATCTGGCTATCTTATCGGGAGAGTGAATTGGAGCTCACCTCCGATACGATCCGGCCTTATTCCGCAACGAGGGCTGGAAAAACTGGGGTGGACTTACCGAGATGCGTCGGCAAATAAGCCGGCGCCCGATCAACTCCGCCGTACTTTGGTAGCCGGTCGTGGACCCAACGGCTCAGATGTACCGACTTATTACTCTCGAGCTTGCAACTACTGCCTACTTAACGAGACTCCTAACGGCGATATCGATACAACCGACCTGTTGCGCGCAGATGAATCTGTATCACCCCAGAGCATTGTCAAAGACTACTTGGAGCGTGTCCGAGCGGTGACCTCCAACAGGGTAATCCTTCAAGGAAGATCGACTATTCCAGCCGCCTCGCCACCTTCGCACTCAATCCCGACATCGCCAATCTCACCAATTTCGGTGAGAACTTCCGAGGACCTCGTAGGGCTCGGCCCGTTGGACACCACAAAGCACGATGTCATTGCGATATTGTATGGGTGCAGCGTACCTGTCATTCTTCGTCCTTCAGGTAGTTATAATCGACCACAGGGGTACAGATTCCTTGGTGAAGCCTACATCGATGGTAAAATGGATGCGGAGTGCATGTCGGAAGGGCATGAGTTGATGGAATTTGTGTTGCGCTAAGGGCGTTCATGATGCTCTGCCAGATAGTCTTACAACTTCTCTCCATCTGCTTCACGTATGGCAATGAGTGCCTTCGTCGCACCCCGCTGAACAACTCCTGGTTGCATCTGCAGCTCTTTGAATCACGCTTCCCACGCCGACCACCGCTCGAAACTCATTCGTTCATCCTTCATTACACAGCTTTTCTCACCTTCCACCGCGCCCTGTCGGAACCGTTTTGCACAAACCTCGAGCCACTCCGCAGCAGCCGGAAACTCAAAATCCAACAGCGCGTCTTTTCCCGAGGCATCTTCGATAACTTCATATACTCAACCAATGGGAATATCTGCAAACCTCGCCGCGATTAAACGCGCCTCCACCTCAGCTTTCACGTCGTGGCCCACTCGACCTCTTGGCATCCAATTTCCAGCATTCGGATCGATAGCCGTCGTACCATATATTGGCAAAATGGGGTAGACCTTTCCAGGGCTTCTCCCCCGGCCGTTCGATCGGCTTGGCCGCTGTAAAACCGGGTTCTGGGAGGTTCTCGATGGCCTGTAGGAGGCATAATAACGGCTGAGTGTAGGCGGGTACCTGTAGGAGAGCATCATGTAGGAGACCCTGCAGGCAGGCTAGAATGTTTTTGGGAGGAGTCGAGGTTATTACCGAGCGAGTGATTGTCTAAGCTGCTTCTTACGATGATCCCTTGGCGTAGGCAGTCTTAAGGGCCAGTACTTCCTCAGGATGGTATTCCAGTTTTGGTTCGAATTTGGAAGTAAACCAATCGTCCGAAGTGATGTTGTGCGATGATGTTGGACTTGCAATAGGACATCCGGTACAGCGAATAATAATACAGACTGTATCTCTGGCATACTCTGTTGGGACATCCGCTTGTTGCACTCACGTAGATGACTCGCAAGGCTGACACATTGTATTGCGCCCTCTGACGTAACAAACGTCCATTGACAGCCCTGGAGTTCGGAAGCTGGATCAGAGTTCGAACGCATATCATATATGGCCAGTCGCGAAGCATGCGTATGCAACCGAAGGAGATACTCCACTTGGCCTGCGACAAAAGAGAAAGGTAAACCTCTAGAAGGTGTCATGTTGGTGAGTGCACTGGTACTGGTGACACGGAGTTAACGTTAATCCCCCTTTCATTCCCACGCAGTTGCAGCGACCGGTGAGGATAGCAGTACAGTAAGCACGGGGATATATTCAGAAGATGAGGCTGAGCAGAACATTGGCGTTGCAGGATAGGCACTCTACCTAAGTCCCTAGGCAGACCACAGCTGGGCATGAACCAAGATGCGGCCCGCTCGCTTCTGCTCGGCCCCCACGACCCAACACGCAGCGAATGATCGAGATGCGTTTCCATACCTGGCAAATGTCTGGCGCGGCTGGGGCGCAGTTCGAGCGGGAAGTAGAAAGTGTGGCGGAGTTTCAGGTCCGAGATAAGATCACACCTGGGCAGGCAGGTAACAATTAAACCCCATGGGCGTTCAGATGCTTTGCGATGCCATTCCAACGCGACACAAGATTCACTATTCATACGCGATGTATGAATCTCCATATAGAGAAGAGCGTTCGGGCGTGGGTGTCGACCCTGGGGGGATTCGGCTATTCGAAAGGTACGACCTCGGGAGTTAGGCATGTGGCTATGACGTCATTGCAACCTTGTAATTACTGCTAACCAGCGTAGGAAGCCCACGGACGAGCAAGACAGCGACAACAGCATTGATATTATTCATGAATCACGTACTAGCTCAACTAAACCGGAGAGCTTTGCCACGAGTAATGGAAATGAATCGCACGACGACGACTTCTTGCTTTTAACCCGATCCGCGGCGTTTCAGCCTCGGAGGCCGGCCAGGCGACCATATCTGACAGGATGGCGACCCGGAGCAGTCTTGTCGCTCGTAGGAGCGATAATAGTCACCATCTTCAACATCGTCGTCACGATATGGGTATGGAAGAACCCTGAAAACACCATTGAAGGGACAATCGGAACATTGAGCATTGGTAACTGTGGACGGACAAGAAGATTGAACGTCAGAATTCATCTGCTCGTTAATATCCTCAGCACACTACTGCTATGCGCAAGCAACTATTGCATGCAGGTCCTCAGCGCCCCCAATAGGGTAGAGCTTGACCGGGCTCATGCGCAACGAGTATGGCTGCACATCGGGGTACCAAACTTGCGCAACTTCAGACACATTGGACGCAGTAGATTAGCCGTCTGGCTTCTACTACTCTGCACCTCTGTGCCACTCCACCTGTTTTTCAATTCAGTGGTCTTCGCCAAACTTCAGGCCAACAACTACGCGGTCCTTCCTATCACAGATGATTGGTTCCATGGAGCGCCATATGACACGTCCAACTTTAGGAACCTCACGAAAGACATTACCGAGGAAATGGTGCTAGAGATGGACAAATATCGGCCCAATCTTTCTGATGTCGTCTATCTAAGAAAGGCCGGCACGATGCCGAGATACAAGAATATCAGCACGTCGGATTGCTTTACCCAGTACGACAACCACTACGTCTCCGGTGTGGGTAATGTTTATCTTGTGCAAGACAACCCAACACTGTGGCGGAACAACACGATGTGGCAACTCTGGCGTAACCCCAACACCTCGTATTTTGTTTGGGATGACGTTCATTCCCCGTCAGATCGTATAGACCGGACATCGCCGCACAGACTCGAGCTTACGCCTACAACGCAGAGACTACCCGAAATAGCCTCACCAGAGGTTTATCCATCGAACACGTGGCGCTGTCCTTCGCATGTAGTCAAAGGCTGCGATGTCCGGAGTCGTTATGAAGTGCCCCACAATCGGTCAGATTGGCGACCTTACGGCAGTCGAATCAATCATTGCATAGTCGAGCAAGTCGAAGAATTCTGCAAACTACAGTTCAGCTTCTCTATCGCACTCGCTGTCATACTTTCAAACATCGTCAAGGTGGCCTGTATAGCTGCGACGCTCTTCATCTGTGGAGACCATGCTCCTCTCGTTACGGTGGGCGATGTAGTGGCGACATATCTCGATGAGCCAGATCCGACAACCCGCAATCGCTGTCTATATTCCAGACAGCTTATCGAGTCTCTTTGGGAAAAAGAGGGTAAGCCCCAACAACCAGCGCGGAAATCCATTCCCCAAAGATACAATGCAAAAGAGGAGAGGTGGAGGAAGGCTCCTAGTGAGAGCAGATGGATCTGGACATACGCAACGTAAGTCAGCAGACCTTAACCCACGATCTAAGCTTATCATGCCCGGGACAGTTATTTTGCCGTCTTCGTTTTCGGCATTCCAAGTCTTTACTATTCTCTCGTAGGTATGCCCTCGGACCCACGCGAACTATGGCAAATCGGTTTTGGCACCGTAAACGGCGCCAACTTGTTCAGCTCCAATCTTCCGCTCGTGGGTAGTATCATGCTTGCAAACACACCACAAGTACTACTGTCCTACTTTTACCTAGCCTTTAACGCACTTTATACGAACATGCTTGTCGCACACGAATGGGCCTCGTATCTGAACGAGCGCAAACCCCTTCGGGTCACCTCTCCGCGTGGAGGACAGCGAGATACCCATTGGCTTAACGTGCCGTTTCGATATGCGATCCCCATGACGATTATCTCTGGCCTCTTCCATTGGCTCGCTTCCCAGAGTGTCTTCATGGTCCGCATTTCGATCACGGATCAAACGCGTCAACCTGTGAACCAGATCTCGACGGTCGGATATTCGCCAATGGCCATAATCTTGACGCTTGTCATCGCGACCATCATCGCAGGTTTCAGGGCAGTGCTCTCGTGTTTCAAATATCCTGCTGGTATTCCTTTGGCTGCAAGCTGCTCCGTGGCTATTAGCGCTGCATGCCATCCTCCTATGGTGGACCAAGATGCGAGCCTGCGGCCTGTGCAGTGGGGTGCTTCTACACATTCGGGGTGGGACAGCTATTGCCAGGAGACAGTTGGTCATTGTAGCTTCTCGAGCTTGCCAGTTGAGTTACCAATATCTGGACGGCTATATGCATAGGTTGACGAAAGTGTTTCCAAAGTTGTTCATGCGGGGACTTCGGGAAGGACAAAGGGGTTGGGTTGGGTGAGCGACGCGCTGACATCGGCCCACTTTTGCGCGTTCTGGGGCATCGCCTGACTATGCCTAGTTGGGCTAGCGAATGAATCACATTAATTACTGCCGACCCGCGCGAAGTTGCATCACAACGTCTCTTCAACACCCGTTTGGTAGCCCCACAGTCATTATCTTCAATTTCCCACTCCATTATTGTGAGCGCTACGTACTACTGCGACCATCCCGAACAATGATCTGCGAGATCTTCTCTGCTAATGCATAAATGGTGCTCTGAGGATGCCCAGGTGGCAGGAAAGGAAAAATACTGGCGTCTACAACACGAAGCCCATCTACTCCAAAAACCTTGGCCTCAGAGTCAACGACGTCCATCTCATTGACTCGCTCGCGAACACCATCTCTGAGTACACTCTTGCCCATTCTGCAGGTCGAAGAGGCGTGCCATACTGTGATCGCGCTGTCTCGGATGACTGCAAGAATCTGTTCGTCGCTGTCCTTGTCGAGGCCTGGGTACGCTTCACTACCCATGTATTCCAGTTGTGCTGCGACATCTTTAGTCGCAAAGACTTCGCGCATCCTACGGTACCAGGCGATAGCGAGCTCTTGATCGGCTGGATCCGACAGCCAGTTTGGGTTGATGGCCGGCGCAGCGAGTGGATTTGCCGATTTGAGTGTAATGTTGCCTCGCGACAGCGGTGCCACCATGGCTCCAAGGATACTGACATACTTCTTGCCGTTCAGAGGTTGTTGCGCCAGGGGATAACGGAAATTTCCTGCGTACGCGTCGGCAGCGATGTATTCCACCTCGGGCCAGTCGTCAGGAAAAGTTTCCAGGGCATCCAGCGTGCTTTGGCTCAGTTTGTCGCGAATTCCTTCCACCTTCGACAGTTTCTCCCAGCCCAATATGTCGGCCGCATAGGTGAGTAAACCCTTGGCTCTCGTTGTGTACTCGACAAGCGCGTTGACCAATTCCAAAGGTCTGAGCAGTATGGAACCTACAGTCTTGAACTTTACGGAGTATGAAGGACCGAATAGGACGTGATCCCACATATTCTGACCAACACCCGGGGCTGAAACGATCTGGTCGATACCATGCTCTGAAAGCTGATCAGTCGGACCAACGCCCGAGAGCATGAGTAGTTGAGGAGACTGAAGCGTTCCAGCACTCACTATCACCTCGCGACGAGCCTTTATGGTATACTTTGCCAGTCCAACAAGGGCTGACACCTCGACTCCATTTGCTTTAGGCCTGGTAGAAGATTTGTCGAACAAAATTCGCCGCGCTTGAGTAAGGGTAAACACCTTGAGATTGCGTGAGGCCTCGGAATTGGCTTGTACAGCGTGTATATAAGCGACCGACGAGCTTCGCGTCTGATCGCGGGATCGGATGGTACTCTGCGACCATTGGTACCCGAGCAACTTCCCGTTGTTGAAGTCTGTGTTCTCCTGGATACCGAAAGCATTGAAAGCCTTCTCAAGGTATGATGCCCAAATCGAAATCCAGTTTCCGTAGCCAACCTGCACAGGTCCACCGCTATTTGAAAAGCTGGATGCGTCGTAAGTGGTCGTGATGTTTTTGAGCGACCGCTCTCCAGGGGCTGTGAAGGTCACTGCTTTGTTGAAGAATGGAGTAAGGTTTGCCATGGTATAGCTCTGGTCACCAACGGCATCCGCCCACATCTGATAGCTTGCCGTGGTCCCGCGGTGGTACACCATGAAGTTCAAGGCACTGCTCCCACCCAAGCATTTGCCGCGAGCATAGTGAATCCGGCGATTGTTCAGCTGCGGCTGTGGCTCGGTGGCGAAACCCCAGTCTGTCGTCGGTACCATGTCGGCGAGGCTCGCTCCGACTCCAAAGAAGGATCCTGCTGGTGTGGTGCCCAAGACCGGCTTCGCGATCTCGTAAAAGCCGCCAGCTTCGATTATAGCAACGGTGAAGCCTGCCTCGGCTAGTCTTACTCCAACGCCAGCACCTGCCGTCCCTCCTCCAACGACGACATAGTCGAAGGTTTGCTCGTCGCCTAGTATTCCGCCGATAGCACCAAGTGTACCGTCAATCAATCCATCCCCCTGAAGACCGGATCCAATGGTTTCGAGAATGGGGTCGAGAATGGGGTTGCCTGTCGTTTGTGCGAGTGTCGATGCAACAAGCGAAAGCAAGGCTACACGCCGTGTAAGAAGTCGCGAAAGCGGCGCCATAGTAGTGGAATGAAAGAACTCCTCCGCGGACACAATGGTCTATGGGGGAACCAGTTATTAACATTTTACCCACATTTGACGTGCGCCATCTGCGTTCTCTAGTCGTTCGGCCGTGCACGAAACTCAATTTTCACTGTCAACTAGGTAAAGCGAGATGGTGTACGGTCACCCTCGGCGCTGAGGGCAGCGAGTCACGCTGGTTTCCCCCTGGACCCATGTGCGAATCAGGGCCGTCCCTAGCGCGTGCTTTATTCTGCCAAGCGCGATACAACCAGAAGCCGGCTCCATGTCAATCGCGTGGAGAAATACATGACTATCAGGGAGATCTGTTCATGGGAATATTAGACAGGTTTGCAGCGAATTGTGTGTTTAATGACTATTCATCATGGCGACTGTTATCGCTACACGCACAGTCTGCTCGTAGATCTGGGTGGCAAGATCGATCTTAGGCCCTGGCACGTGTGCAACCTTGATGATCCCGAGGTCGATTTTCGTCGATCTTTCTACAGAGTTGACTTAGTCGTCACTGCTAAGACGCCGTCCAGATCTAAAGCTATAACAACTTTTCGGCCCACCTGCAAGTTGAATAACCCAAAAGAGACACCTGTTCGGCCCGCTTCCAAGGTTTTGCGCGTCACCGAGCATCGCTGAGCTATGCTTAATTAGTCCAGGGGACAAATTACATTGTTCACTTCAGCCCTGGAGTCTTGAGGGAAAGTGCTACTCTAGTTTCCGACAACACGACTCTTACTCAAGACCTCGGGATACCTTCTTGCGTGCCGCATCTTCTCCGCATTTCGATGCATTCGTCGAAATTGCAATTGCCAGTCTAAGCAACACGAGCGTTAACAGGAATAACAGCATGCCCACTACGAGGAACCTCGCCCTCTCCGTATACGACCTGCTGGTTCGGCTTCTCGATAGTCTGCTGGACCTTCATAGCTACAAAATTAATCGCACATTAGCCTACGCTCCTCTCATTCATAACGATACGACGTGAACTTACTCAGACCATCGCGCTGGGGCTCAACTGAGAACGTGTCCGGTGTGCATTGGACGCCGTAGACCTGGCCCTTTTCCACCCAGGTGCACTTGGATTCGAGACCATCGGGGTATTCTTCGTCGACGTAGACGGCGGTGATTTCGAAGGATACGACTTGTTGGCTGACGTCTTTGTAGGAGCGGGTCACGTTCCAAGCGGCCTCGATGGGGTTGCTGGCGCTGACGGCGGCGGCGAGGGCGAGGGTGATGGCGGGAAGTGTGAAGTGCATGGTGATGAAGAGTAGGTTGGTTGGTTACTTGGTGGTGGGTGAGTTGGTATTGAGGTGGATGGGTGAGTTGCTGGTAGTGGGATGCGGATGTGGTGGTTATATATTACAGCATCTCGTATTCCGACGTCAGAAGTATCCACGTTACTTCGTACCCTCAACATCAGTTCCGGCGGTCGTGCGTTGTGTTGACTAATTGGCTGTCAATACGAACGTTGGAAGGGATGAGCACATGGGTATCATGGTCAAGAGACGGTGAGAGCGCGTGTTCATACTTGGCACAAACGCGACAGCGGTCAGATCGAGTGGGCTATTGGACATGGTGGAGGACGTTCGGAGAGTCTTGAGAACATTGAGGCGTTCGACGCATAGCCCGACTGCATCTATATACCTCACGGGCTCTCGATGACTGGCATTACAGGAATATTTCACAAAAGCAAGCAACACCAATGTCTCTGCTAAGCTTTCACAGAAGACATGGGTGCAGCGGGGACCTGCAGGCAGCGTTATTCCCCTCACACACATATGGCAAAGCGCGAAACATATCTGCTCATCGGATTAGTGATCAGACCCAAACTTCATCCGCCGTTCCGTTCACGAGTATCCTTTAAATAGAACTCGCTATATGATGCGGCCCGATAGAAGGGGGAATTACTCCAAAAGCCGTTTCTTGAGAGTGGTATGCAGGCTTGTAGCTTATAGAGGCGTTTCCGGGGTCATATCCCGACCCACATGGGTGCGCCACTTGCATGACGCGACACAGCAGCGTACTCCACTATAGCGGACCGTTAACGATAGGTCTTCCGCTCTTTCCTTCTAGCGGAGCTCGAGATCGTTTTTGCCGTTCTGGCCTTCTGCACAAGAAACGGAGAGGCGGTGAAGACATTTTCTGCCTGTCTTCAAGCGCGGATAGACTGGTTGAAGAGGCGCGCGTAAGAGATATTGGCTGTGGTCATTTCTAAACGTAGCATCTACACGAATAAGTATATACAAAAACTCACCCACAAGAAGAAACCAACGCCTCAGCTCTACCCCAATCCACCTCAACTGACCCTCCACGCTAAAGACCCAACGCCCACAAGCTCTCTCCCTCACCCCTTGCATCCCTCCTACCAGCACCAGCGACCATAGTCTTCATCTCCGGCTGGCTAGACGTCGAACCGGGAGTAGGCACAACGACCGTCGGAGTAGGCCAGTTGAATCCCGAAGACCAAGCTTTCGACGAAGTAGTCATCGATGCAGTACGCGAAAGACTAGAAGACGTAGAAGCCGACCCAGTGCTCGAAGGCTTAGGCCAATTAAACCCAGAACTCCACGCACTAGAGCTCGTGCCATACCACTTCTCATCCACATCAATGGCCACCTCACGGCCTCCCCTCGCCTCAACCTTCTGTCCCTCGTTCTCAGGCCCCACGTAATCCATCTGGTAATCGCGCTGCGCGCCAGCTTCATCCGCACCCAGCAGCGCCGCCGAGTACGCCAGATACCACGTGCGACTCGCGCCGCCGTCAAGCTGCTCGTTGAAATTGGGGTTGGCGAAGAAGTCGTATGAAGCTTGTGGGTCGAAGAGCGCTTGGTTGGCTTTCAAGATGCTCTTCCATCCGCCTTGGACTTGCTCTGCGCGGCCGTTGCTGAAGTATGTGTCCCATTCTTCTTGGACGAATTGCTTACGACGAGTGTACGCGGAGGAGGGATTGAGCGGGATCATGTGGATGCCCTCGATGTATTCGATGTTTCCGCCAAAGTACGTGGTGTGGTCGATTTTGTTCTCGAAGAGGATACCGGTGGCTTTGTTCTTAATAAAGCCAGCGGGTTGGTTCCTGTTGTCGGCTTCCATGAGAAAGTAGTTCTTGATACTGCGCGCTTGGACGGCGAGTTGTAGATTTCCTCGTGCCTCCATATTCGCGTCTTGGATGATTCGGCCCCACATCTTGAGCGCGTAGGTGGCGAAAGTGTCTTCCGAGGTGGATTCCTGGTCTTTGCCGTCGCCGGATTCGTAGAGGCCCTTTGCCCAGGAGTGACCGTGGAACCAGTCGAAGGAGCGCTGGAAGGGGAATTCCGAATCACTTACGGGGTTTGCAAAGTCGCGGACTAGGTTGTTGACCCAGGCTTTGTTGCTACCTTCGCCGAGCCATGTAGGGTCGAGATGGCCGATGACGGCAGCGGTGTAAACGAAGTACCCGTAGTGGAAGTGATGATCATTGTATAGCGTGTTTCCAAAGTCCAGACCAAGATCTCCGGAGTAGCTGGCGCGTGACACCACACCCTTCCAGACCTGATCGTAAACAAGTGGCTCGGGCTGCGTGTTATTGACGAAAACGTTGAAAGCGTCCTTAAGGCGACCTAACCCAGCGGAAGCGTATTGACTGTTGCCCGTCATGGTGTTCATTGTGTAGATGATTGCAGCAAACTTGGCCAATCCCTTGCCGGAATAGTACATGCTGTTCAGTGAGGTCTGCGGAATCATGTTCTGGCTGAGCTCAGCTATGCCCGCTTGGTTGATGAGCGCGAGGGCCTGGGCGTTCAGATTAATGTTCTCCGAGCCTCCAGCTGCGCTGGGGTTCTTGGCCCACGGGGCAAAACCAATACTGTCGGGCAGATCGTTCTCCACCATTGTCATCTTGTCGGCAACAATAGCTCGTGCAAAGCCCTTCGTCGTGGTGACCAGTGTGATGTCTTTCAATGCGGCCGCAGTTTGTTGATCGAACGACTCGACGTGATGAGGTAGCGCGTACATCAACAACGGTCGCTCTGTTGCACCGCCTTTGGCCCAACTTATTGTGTAATTTCCAAAAGCTCCGTTGACGTTCCCGGAGATAGAGGCATTGACTGGGTATACACCAGCGCTATTGTCAAATATGCCCTCTACTGCCGCGCCCGATGGATTCTTGGTAACTTGGATCTTGCCGACAAAGTCGGGCGGGCCGGTGATGGTCTCGCTGTTCTCCAATACGAAGGGAGGTGTACCAATAGACCCATCCGAAGTGGCGTAGAGAAGCCAGTGTGAGCCATCATTGAGCACAATGCGATACTTGTGCGTGATCCCATTGATGAGCGCAACGTATTCCAGGGAAAGGAAGAAGACGGTGGTCTTGATCATTGGTGTCGCTCTGTCGTAAACGGCTGTCATCATGCCCATGCCCTGAACGACAGGAAGAGACATCATGATGCGGGTTCCCTGGAGGTTGTTCGGTCGCAAGTTCACATACGTGGAGAAGGCCCCCAAACGTGAAAGGGAGAGATGTGTATCCGCCTTTAGTTCTTTTGCGGACAGTATGATGTGTTGGATACCGAGCGGTGAGATGAAGAATCGAGTATCATCAGCATTTGGAACGAAAGCAAATCTGTCCCGAGTTGTGTGACTAATGGCAATACCTGAGATGGGTAGAAGTTCATGTCAGTATGCGCCTGACATCTGCGTATGTTTTTACGTACCATTTGGGCCACCATCGCTTCGGCGAGCCCACGACAGAGAGTAAGGGTGTGTCCAGGTCGGGAAAGATTGGCTGCCAAGGAAGAAGTTGGCATAAAACTTGTTCGTCTGGGCTGGTACGTCTCTATCATCGATGTTCTGTCTCTGAACGGGGTGGTCTGCTCTGGAAGGGATAGCCGACGGAATTACTGCGCTCGCAATAGATTGGAAGATGTTTGACGAAGCTGGATTGAAGGGTGCTGTAGGACCAGGCTCAAGAGGCGTTTCATCGGGACACAGTGGCTTGGTGGCTGTTGTAGTGCCTGGGCCATCGACTGGATCTTTTGTGAAACCACCTGAAGGCAGGCCCGTCAAAAAGCTCTAGTCATTGTCAGGTTCTACCCTTTCAACGCCGGTGTGTGGCATCGTAACGTACACCAGTATTGGATGGTTCTACAGTGGGAGAGGCCGACTGCAACGACGTAATAGCTGTGCTATAACTTGTAGTGACCGAAACGTCTGTCAATGTGATCTCGCGGGCCGCAACCTTAGCTGGCTCTCTTATCACTACTCCTCCCGCAGGCAGGCTGCGAACAGAAGGCGAAAGATAAAACAAGGCCAGAAGGAAAGGTGTCAGCTTCGCCATGCTGACAGCTGAGAGTGTATAGGTGTACGAGAAGTTAAGATAGGGATTGTAATCCAGACGAGGTCAAGTAAGTGAATGTCCTTGGATCGTGTGTGTGATGAAGGAATGTGTCGGTGATGGACAGTGACCCGGTAAATATTGCCTTGCTGCAGGGCGCAGCGAGCTATATAACCTGGGAAAGCAAGCCATGAGGTACAGTACCGTAGCGTTAATTACCGGGGGATGGCCAACCATATTCAGTATAGGAAGGTCGGTTTGTCCATCTAAGACATCGACCTAAGCCGTGAAGGGTGGATACTCCAAACGCGGGGAGATTGCCCAAGTCAGTTCCTCGGAAAGTACATGCACTCGCCTGGTAGCACATATGGCTCTCGGGTACCTGAAGCCTCACCCCGCCAAAGGTCTCGCGACCAGCTCATCGGGTGCTCGAGCGCACAAATCGACCGTGGCGCCCGGGTCGTCCCATAATTCTTTGACTAGTAACCCTTAACATATGGTGATATACGTTCTTGCCTCAGACAATGGATCTGTGGAGCTGTGGTAGTCGATGAAAATAGGGGAGGCTATACGGCTCAATAGCGGTAGGAGTACACACATCTAGAAGCTACACGTTTGTCAGTAGATGCATACAGTATAGTTTCCATAAATGTGGTATCGTGGATTCTTCGCATGACCAAACAACGTGCCCCAAGCATCTCCAGGCCTATTCGAGGGTTGGTAAGGAAGAGCCAGAGTCCGGCGCAGATCTCCTAAAGCGTTTGTGGGTGGTTCCGAATGATAGCAAGGTGCGCGCGAGGCTGACTGCTCCGACGGTAGACGTAAGACCATATACTCTTGGTAGAGGAGAAGAGGGATGGGAAGGCTGCACCTGACCTGCGTGTTTGACACAGTATTTCCCAACTCGGTGTGGTGCTTCAGCCGCATGATCATCGGAGCAAGGTATGTTGATTGAGATGTGTGTAAGAATGATACAGAGATTTGAACTCTTGTCAAGTAAAGTGGCGGTGCTACTATGATTTCCCTGGTTGGGATCGATTCGTCCAAGATGTTTGGCATCGTCGCAGCACGCTCGTGATGTAATCCTCGGTCCAGCTCGACCGATGCAACAAATGCAGATGCTGCGGACATAGCTGGGAAATTACCGGGTGCAAGAAGCGTCGAACACGAGATCTCAGACTACCGAAGCCAGCGCCGGGGTCTCGGTTGTCGGTCTCGAGACCACGGTGGGACACGCGCCATCCGTCCCTGTGGGGATTTCTGCAGTGTGACAAGCGCACATGGTGGAGAGACGAGGCTGGTGTGCACTCATGGATATCTTAAAAGGCTTCTCCGGATGTTGCGCATGCGTTTCAGGCTTTTGCATTATGTGTGGCAAAGCCATGATCCAGAATGGTGTAAATTGGCGATGCACAGGAAGGTGGCGAAGATCACATGCCAGAAACACATCGGAGATGCTGCCCCTTAGCCCCGTTGAGATGCACTGCCACATTGACGTCATGAGCATCGACGCCACTTCCTTCTTCGAACGATGTCACTACATCCACTTACACTGCAACAGCCTTTAATCTACTCACCTACAAGCTCTACTACCTCAAATTGAAGACATTGTCTCCAGAAAAGTGCGAGGAACCTCTCTGAAAACTTCATACTACCTACACCCTCCACAATGGCAACCTCACATCCCAACGAGCCACCACCCAGCTACGAAGCCGCCATCTTCGACGCCGAACCCTCCCAAGGCATCCACCGCGTCTCGACCGACGGCCCTGCAGCACGCACCGAACGCAATGGCATCCCACCCGAGCGCCGCCGCTCCATGGAAGACGAGATGCGCGCGCTCCCTGATGGTTGGGTCCGTAGTTTCGACCCAGAGACCTCCCACCAATTCTTCGTCGATACCAAAGCCGATCCTCCACGTAGCATATGGACACATCCATACGACGACGAGCAGTACCTCAACACTTTAACTCCTGAAGAGCGTAAGAAGCACACGCGCATGCACCGAACCATGACACTGGAGGACCTCACAGCTGAGGACTCCGACGCGGAAGACCAACTACCCCCGCGACCTACATCGAAGGGTAAAGGCGCTGCGGCCCCTGGCGAACCGACTGGAATCCATAAGTTTTCGAGGAAGCTGAAGGACAAGATCACGGGTCAGACACATGAGCAGCGTGAACAGTCTCGATCTCAGCGTGCGGAGCAGGAACGACAGGCGTATCTTCAACATCTGCGTACAAGACAGGCTCTGATACGTGCTATGGAGACGGGGCAGCCGCAATTGCTGGGCAAGGACCGTCAGGGCAGGGATGTTTATATCGAGCCGCCTCATGGACCGTATGCTCCAAGGGGAGCTTATGGATATAACCCGTATGGTGCCCGCCAGTATGGAAATCCTGGTGTGAGGTATATGCGTCCTGCTGGGCCGTACGGTAGGCCGTATGGATACGGCTATGGCGGTGGTGCTGGTCTGCCCATTGCAGCTGGTTTCCTTGGTGGCGCTATGCTGGGTGGTGCGCTGTTTTAGTGAGGGAAAACATAGAGACTTTGGCGAGTTTCCTCTTTTGTACATGAAACATCCCTAGTAACGATTGACGAATAACAATGATTGCATGATCCTCTCTCTGCTCGTGCATAAGCATGTAGTCCATCGTTGTATAGTCCAAATTGCTGAGGCGAAAACATGGGGTATCATATTGCAACTCCTAGCCTAACTTCAAATCACATTCTGAACCACTTCCAGATCACCTCAAACCAGATATATCTCTCGACATGGAAGTAACACGATCCTCGAGCTCCTTCTTCTTCTTCTCAAGTTGACGCGTCTCCTCTTCTTCTCGCCGAAGGTCTTCCTCAGTCAACACGACTACTGGCTCGGGCTCCTCTTCAAGCTCATCCACATCCTCCTCCGCGTAGTCACCTCGTGAGCGGTTCAGCTTGCCGAGCTGAGCTTGTTGTTCGGCAAGTCGGTTTTCGTAGTACTCTAACGAGGCGGAGACTTGGGCGTGTCGTTGGCGCATGGCTGCGATTTTGTCGTGGACGCCTGGTATGGGACTACAGATGGTCAGCTCAAGGTACGTGTCCTGGTGTTCTCGACGTACTAGACCCCAAGAAGCTTCTCAGCTCCTTCTAACAGTGACTCGACGTCAATCTCGTTCTTGTTGCTGCCGTTGTACATCCTGTAGCCGAGACCTGAGCCTGCTCCTCCACCACCTCCTCGGCGTATTCTCTCTACCAGCTCATTGCCAAGCACTGCTGCTACAGCCGTGTTACGTCTGGGTGCTCGCACGGCATTTGCACCGCCGCCGCCTGTGCTGGTGCTGCCGCCTCCATTGGGGTTGAAGATGGTGTTGCGCCTGTTGGTAGACGGAGCTGGTTCGGCATGCTTCGGGGCTGCGGGTGGCGGAGGAACGGAGAATAGCGCGCGTTCGTGAAGTTCGGTGTCTCGAATCAAGCTCGTGATATCATGGTTTTGCAGTAACGCGTTGGTGAAGATCTTGGGCGGGGCGAACCTGGGGGTGTTCAGTCGGAAGCTATCGAGTGTGAAGGACGGGAGACCCACGGCAACTCTCCAATTGACGCTGCGCAGAGCGAGATCTGCTCTAGATGTGCATCCAGAAGCGCCATGCCGGAACTGAGCGTATATCGAGTATGCTGGGGTGACGCGGGGGTAAACAAGGGCGCGTCGGTGCTCGATAACTATTCCCCGATGTTCCGCCGCGCTGGCGTCAGTGAAGCTGGGAGCTCAACCTCCGCAAAGCATCAACACCACCCTCACCACCCACCACTCCCCCCATAAACACCCGCACCTTCCGTCCCCCCACCTCCACGTCAAGAGCGACCATCATGGCGGACAGCATGGAAGGCGTCGTCGTCGAGGGCGAGCAGCCCAAAACCGAGAACGTCGAGCAGAAGGCGATTGCTGGTAAGTGACACTGTAGGCCACTCCGCCGCGCAGCATGCCTTTTACTTCAAAGTGCCCCTGTACCAACTGCACCACCTCGTGGCCGGTCCGCAAGATGTGTCCCAATCACATCATCGCCACCGAGGTTGCGGCGTGCAAGTATCTGTACCAGCGTGCTGATCCGACGACGACAGACATCCGCAG